CTGATACACACATTAAGACATCCAAGAGGATGCTGAACATTTACTCAGTTTCCTCTCTTCTCCTTCACCTTCATGCCCAAATTATTGAGTGGGGTCAGCGGTTCCTACATCACCTTTGTCCCTTCTGGTTTTGAACAACCGATGGAATCCTGCATTTCCTAATGTCACCAGCAGAGATAAACATATAAAATGCTGCTTATATCTCTGCCAAGTTAATTATTACACAGCACAGCCCAGTCAGTGCAACGCTGTGTCAGGCAAAGCGAGACACGAATTCTTCCTGATTTCAAAAGAAACATTTAATTTTCACCCCCACCCCTCCCTGGTTTCCTAATCTCAGCTTCCCCGATTTGTTTTCCACAGTGAAAGATTTTTCTATAATGGAAGAATCTATACCTATGTATTTAGCTTCATTACCTCACAGTCCTTCTAAGTAGCCTCCCAGTTTTATGATAACTGGAAAGAGTTTATTTTTCCATAACAGAACTTTTAATTTAATAATGAATTAAAATGTTGACCTTCAGTTTGTCCTAGGTGATCCTTAAATATTCAGGAATGTACTAAAGTGTTTATTTCCATGGAACTCAAAAAATTAATTATACAAAATATATAAAATTTGGTTTTGTCATGTAGTAATCAATCACAACCAAAACAAGATGAATGGATGCACACCAGAGTGACACCCTCTCCATCTCCCGTGTCGTCACTACCGGTACAGAGATGTCCCAATTGTGAGATGTGCTCAGCCTGGCATAATGATGGCTACATGCAGGTTTGAGATCATCTTAATTCCTAATGAGTCTTGACAAAGTTCTCTCTCCCCCCGCCAGAAAAGGAAAAGAAGGGTGACAGGAATCCCACACCCGCGACTGCAACTGCAGTGTAGCTGGGACATTCGCTCCCCAGGCTTTGCCTGTGCAGACGTTGTGGCATTTAAATCTGGTTTACTAATATTCACGGAAAACTACACGAAGCAACATAATAAAGCCAGTTTAAACTGTGCACCTGCAAGAGAATCTAAGCTTGCCAAAGTAGCTGATAAAGCTTCTGCATGAGAATCAGTGTGAGAACCCTTATGCAAAAACCTTCTTACAGACCAACATCCAAAATTATTTCTTCTCTATCAAGCGCTTATGTCAGTGGAAGGTCTCCAAATCTGCTCTAGAGATATGCCCTGAAGGCGGCAGAACTTGGGTAAGTTTGTTTCAGCTGTTTCTGCAATATGGTGAGATGGGGTAATACCGGAAAAAGGACTGAACTGTTAGTCAGCGCTTCGGACTGCTGAATGTTGATCATATCCTGTATAAATGAGAAATATCCCATGCAAAGTTTGAGGTGAATGATAAAAATGAAGGTGGCAGTTAGGCAGCAGACGCAATAGACCGCAGGACATCGTCAGTGAAAGGATCAGACAAATCTTAAAGATGAGATGAAGGCAAGACATGCGCCCCCATTTTACGACAAGGTGCCTATGGCATCATAAACAGAGTATTATAGAGAAAAGGGCCTGGAGCACCTGGGTAGATATGTGAAAAAACACCTGGTTTAATAATCCCCAGCCTCAGTTCTTACACTTTGACATACAATTAATTCATTAACATATAATCATACTAACATCAAAAAGCCAATGACTGCTCCACGCAGCGCAATTATGCTCTGCTGGTAAGTGGAAGCTTTGTCTGTATTTTTTCACAGACCAGTACGTTCGTGACATCACTTCTCATCTCACTGGAGGCTGCTGTTTGTCCTTCGAACACCCATTTGGCGCGCTTTAATCAGGAGACCCTTCAATCCAAATTTCCCCAATTCATGCTGGAACTTACAATCCTGTTCGAAGGAGCAACTCCTGAACTGGCTCACAATGGGACCCCAAGGAAGTTCTAGTATTCGTCATCTCTCCATTTTTCTAACTCCTATATAATACCTAAATCTTATAAAACTAATGTATCCTCTTAGCCACAAAGAACATGTGGAGACAAGAGTAACTTCCAGCAAATACTTTCTGAGATTTCTCTATCGTTCAAGCTTCTGTCCCCTCAACAAATGTGAAACACAATCTTTTCTAACCAATTTCTGTTTCATTAGAGTAACTGAGAAGACAAAAGAGAGATGCATGGCATGCTCTGACTTCTGTTATTTTACAGTGAAATAAAATTTAGCACTGGTTGTCTCTTGTTTAAAAGAGAAGCACCCCCACACCCCTAGATAAATCCGTTGTATACCACTGAAAGGTGTAATTTTCATTAGGATAAATAAGCCTCAGCTGGTTTGTGGTATCTACCAAACAGTGGCAGAAGGCTGTCTCAGAAGATTAATTCAGTTTCTTTTAAGACTATCTTCTCTGTTCAGCGCATAACAAACAGTATTGATCAAACAGGTGAGTAAAACCTCAGGCTTGGTACGCAGTCTGGAGTTACACAGGTATTTTTAAACATGCCTTTTTAACATTCCTTCAACAATCTGGCTGATTTCAGTGCTGGCTGAGCACGAACACCCATCACTGCGAGATGCTTTGTCTTGAAACACAGGAACATTTGCTTGCTGTGGCAGAGAGGGAAGTCTCCCCATTGTTATCCACAGTGCAGATTTGGAACATGTACCCAAATATAGCCTGGGGGTTGTTGTTGGTTTTGTTTGGGTTTTATTTTTCCTGCATTTTTGGATTAAAATGTTGTCATTATTCAAATGACAGGAAGGAGTTACAGTATTCCTGAATATATAGCTACCTCTCTCCTACCAGTGCTGCTGGACTGGAATTAAAAAAAAAAAAACAAACAAAACAAAACAAAATGTATTATTTGGTTTTCTTTACAGGTCTGTAATAAAACAAATCACAGAAGGCAAACACAAAATTTCTGAGGAAAATTCCTCCTCCTCCCCTCCCCTTCCCCTCACCAGATCTTCATCTGAATCCTTCATCCTACTCGTGAACTTTTAAAAAACCCTGAACGCTGTTCTTCAAAACCCAAGTGCAATAGAGTAGCTTTCACTTTTATTCTGTAACACACCTCAACCTTTATATTAAAGAGCAGCAACACAACTTCAGAGCCTCTTCTCTCATATTTATATAACTGAACCTTCTCATTAGAGATCTTGCTTTCCTCCTTGGAAATCAGTATTACCATTCCAGGGAACCACGAAGGAAAACGTCTTTGATGGTACGACAGCCCAGTTCTTTTTGCAAGCATGTGCCCCGTTCATCTCGATACACAAGCTAAAACAACACGGACAACTTCTTCTAGAATATCGGATTGGCTATGTCCATCCTTAAACACACCTTTCCCCCACCCCCAAAATAGAAACACAACTCAAAAGTTATGTAATCTCATTAGAGGAAAAATTACAGTATCTTTATGTTGAAAATTATGTCACTCGACAGAAGACTCACACCTCTCATACTTGGCCACTAGAAATCTCTGGTGTTGTACTGCAGGGAAAACAGGAGTCTTGTCAACACACCAGAAAACCCCAGAAGTTTATTAAAAGTGCTGATGTCTTCTGAAAAATCACCAGAGCAAATAAAGCACAGCTCAGCTTCAGAAGGAATCACATGGGTGCCTTCTGTTTCTGCACGTATTCGATTTCATATACGAATAAACCCACTTAAAGGTACCCACACAAATTAAGGAGGAAAAATTTAGCACCCTGGAAATAACAGGGCTAAAATTCTGCTTAAATATACACACGCATACACTAGTATTTTCCCTGTGCCTCCTCACTAAAGGTGTACAGATCAGACTAACTACGGCAAATACTGAATACTTACCATGACAGAGAATAAAAATCAGAACATAGGCAACTTCCTGAAAAGGGGCATCTCTTCAGAACATGAAAAAGAGATTAACACAGAACAGTATTAAAAACCTGATTTTGCATGTGATCTGGGGAGTAAGAAAAAACTGCTAGCACGTTCATTGATTTCCTAAAACTATGAATACCTGAGAACCATCTCCAGAACCTGTTTCCGTAGGTGAGAATTAAACTGTCCTGTTTTTACAGCTGCTTTCTTCTTGAATCATTGAGCTATTCAAAGGAAATCACAAAGCAGAATACCAAAACCTATGGTTGAGTGCCCAAGTGTCTCAAGCTTCTTTGAAAACCTTTATGCAAGTAGAATGTGTCTTCTATACTTCTTATGGTGGCTATTTCTCGTCTGCTAGCTCTGCCCATTGAATGTTTTGTCTCCGTTGCTCCAATTACCTTTCTGTTAATACACAGATATCTGGGAGAGCAGTGAAGCCCATTTAGAAAGCTGTGTGAGGGTGCAGGTCACACAGCTGTGCTGTGCTGCCCAGAGACTCCTGCACACCTGCCCCGGGAACAGCCAAGTAGTGACTAATTTTGCACCAGTTTTAACTCTCCTCTTGTCAAGCATGTTTTGTAGAAACGTTCCCTCCACATCATTATCCATCCACTTTGTCTAATACAGGTTCCTCTATTACTGCAGGTGGCTGAAAAATAACTACAAAATGAGATCATAGTTGAATTTAAGAGACAGTGACTTTGAACAGAACAGGTATTTCTATAGATTAGGTGGATCAGACCCATCTAGAAGTTTTGTTAATTAACAATGCAGCAACTTCTTTTTGCAACATGTTTATATCTACAGAGACTATTCAGAAATCAACCTTCTCATCTAATATCACTGTGAAAAAACGTTTAGCTTTCCTTTCTAAGAAACAGATGTAACTTAACACATACTGAAAAAAGACTTCAGCAGGAATGTTCACATAAACATAAAAAAATGTGAACTGCCTTAAAAAAGAAATCTGGTTAAGCATTCCGTCTTTCAATTGATTCAGTGCTCTTACAGGAAATAGATCTACATTCACAAACCATATTGATTTTTGATTTCAAGTACGTATCATGCATCATGGTACAGACTGAGAAGAAAGAATTTGTGAATCCTAATAAGCATCCACATTTATACACACACGCACACTGGGTACTTTAAAATAGACAACATTCACTTGAACAAAAACATACTTCCGACAACAGAATTTCTCTATTAAATCCATGTTTATTGCTTAAGTTTTATCACAGTGGAGATTAAATTATGCTTAATCATCCGGTCAGTGCTTTTGTACCTTCTTCAATGCCAAAAAAAAAAAAAAAAAAAACAACAACCAACATTTAAACCAAGTCATTCATACACTCGAAGTCTTAATACCATCCCACCACTCATCGCCTCTGTGTGCTCCTTTAGTTGCCACAAGCTGCAAGATTGTAAAAAGGTATAGCTAACAGGCTTATTTATAATACCATTTTCTTCAAGTATTCAGAAAGCAGTACAAGTAGCTGTACTGTATATTAGAAACGTATCTGTACTGTTATTTATTGCTAGAGGATAGAGGCTCCTGATGGAATGATAGTGAAATATTGCATCACTGTGTATGAAGATGATCTCAGCATCCTGTAATCATCACAACCCTTCCCGTGTTAGTGAGCAACACTAGGTAAATGGATTTCTTTCCTTTCTCTTTCAGGCATGGGATTTCAAATAAATAAAGCATACACTCACAACATGTGTAGTGCAAATTCCAAGTAAACAGAACGACATGGAAATAAACTCATAGTTGCCAACCTTGGTTCAGCAGGGCAGTTATGATTTTTTTTGTTTGGTGGTTTTTTTGTTTTTTGTTTTTTTTTTTTTTTTTCGTTATGCCCAGCGCCCTGCATCCCCGCCCTCGGTGCAGACCACCGCCAGCATCCCATGTCGGCGACAATGATTGAGAGAGATTGTTGCAGGGAGGGGCCGCAGCGGGGGGAAGGGGGAGACGACCCCCTCTGCAAACCTCGCGCTCGGGCGGCCGGGCTTCACCCCCCGCGTCCCGGCAGCCCCCCGGCAGGCAGGCTGGGCACCCACCCGGGGAGCAGCCGCCCGTCCCCCGTCCCGAGAATTCATATTGGCAACTACGTGAAACATGGATTGCGTGGCCCAGACTAAGAGAAGGTAATGTTTTTCCAGATACAACCGTTGAAAGAGAACATCTACAACACTGCGATTTCGAAAGAACTTAATGAGAATTAATAGGATAGACATTCAACTTTGGAGGGAGGGGCGTGGGGTGTGTTTGTTGTTCACTGTTTATTTTTTTTTTTTTAAACAAACCCCAAATAGTGGTTGGATTCTGCACAGCTCTGGGCCATTACAAAACCTTCTGCGTTGAGCACAGGGCTAGACCTTCGCGTTCTGTTGCTGTTGTTTGTTTCATTTATTTTTCTTAATTATGCAAATCTACGTCCCACACAGCCGTATTTTAAACTGAAATAAAACTCCCTAATATTTTCATGGCATAAAGTATATATATGCAGAGAAAGGCAACAAATAATATTTTGTAGAAATTAAACATTAGGACATATTGTAGACTTGCTCAAGACCCTTTTCTCCAAAGTACTGGTAGCGAGCAGAAGAGTCATGCAGCTTATCAGTAAAACGAATACATATTTTTGCCATTTTTCTTCAGTGCTCATTTTAACATTTTTTGTTTGCTTTTTTGGGTTTTCTTTTTTTTTTTGTTAATGTCTGTGTTCTCAGTCCGCAACTTGCTATTTCTTGCACAAAGACTGGGAAAAATTAATTTTTTTTAAACAGCATTCTTCCACAACATGTTGAACCTTCCACAAAGGAAACACAGAACTAGCACTAAAGTTCTTTCAGCTAAAAGATGGATATATTAAAATAATAAAAACATAAAAGGAAAAAACCTCTGCAAATAAAAAGAAACCTCTCCTCATTTGGGACACACACATTTAGCTTTTAAAAACTGAAAATTCATAAATACGGTCATTGTATAACTTTAGAGAATTAAGGCTTCTAAAAACTTCAGTGCCAAAATAACCTCTCTGCATCAGTATTAAGAATAAAATATTTTTCCATTTTAGGTTGTGCTTGCCTTTTTTTTTTTTTTTTTTTTTAAAGACTTTTCTTAGTTCCATAGAATTTTGTCACATAATATTACATACTGAAGGGGAGTGTTAGAACTGCTTATTGAGGTTTTAAGTAGTTGTTAGACTAAGTTACAGCGATAAAATTCGATTACTGATCTGATTCATTACTACTTTACATGGGGCTGTTGGCTCATTTCACCTTTTTTTCATGCTTAATGTGGCCATTTCTTCTATACTTGCCATTTGGTATCCCATTCTGGTAATGTCCATTGACAGCGCTATGTTCATCATTTGACCAAAGATGTTTGCTTTGTTTGCGGATAAACTTTGTTATCCTGGCCAAAATATAATAAAGTAAGGCAGCACCCACTAGTACAACAAAGGCAATATCCAGTAAGAAATACTGATATAAAGAGATGCTGTAAACAGCGGCACGTAGATGTTGGGCTCCGTTGTGGCGGAGGATGTAATTAATCCAGTATACAGTCCGGTTAACAGGATGACCAGGTTGGTCTTTGTGAATCTCAGACAGCCTCTGGGCCCGCTGTCGGTAGCTGCAGGGAAGAAAATAGAGAGAAAAGGGAAGAAAGGAAAAACCGTCGTCAGCGCTCTGAGCAACGCAAGCCTGCAAACATGTAAATATACTTAAACCTCTTCAGATCAAACAGCGCGGCACTGCAGGACTCTCACAACCACCAGCATACGGAGGGCTGGACACTGCAGATAATCTGTCTTTAAATCAGTCCTTACAGTTTATTGATGAAGAAGAACTAGAAAAGCAGACCCGGGTGTGCCTAAAGGCAGAAAGCCACCCTCCAGAAAGCGATGAAGAGCCGAGCTGACCTGCAGCTGGAGAGGAATCTGAGCTAATCCAAAATGAATCCTGCCCAGTGAGACACACCTGCCCTTCCCACTGCAAAGTGGCAACATACCCTGTGTAACGCACCGCTCGCTCACGTTATTGTGCAACTGAATTACTAGAGAAACACGGAACAAAGAGAAAAAAAAAAACTCCCTTTTGATTGCGCAATAGACTATTTCTGCTTGGGTCCAGGGTTCAGCCTAAAACATTTCTTTTTCTCAACATACTGTTCTCAGCAGCTGATCACGTCCAATTCCTCCTTTTCCCCTTTACCGCAGCTGCGGGGTCAACAGGTTATTTATGCAGGACTTGCCTTTACACTAAAGATAATTGCACAAGGGAAAGGTGATGCAACTGATATTATCAAGATCTCTTTAGCAACATTCCCCTTCACCAGGGCTCTGCTCCTTACAGGTCTCTCCTTTCTAAAGGCAAGCGCCACCTGAAGACTTTGCTCCTGTGCATGCAAGAACCGTTGTTGGCACCGTACTCCAAAACTACAGTTAGTCCGGTACAATAAACCAACAGCTAACAGGCCGTTTTTTTTTCAATCTGGAGATGGTCTGAACATCACAGATGTTTAAAACGGGACAGTTAGGAGCAAACTTGTAAAGTACCTTTCCTTGCAATTTAATATCCCTGAGCAAATTCATTTGCTGGAATTGGAGTTAGGAAACGCAGTTCACAGGCTTTTACTTATTCCACTTGAGTTAAAAAAAAAAAAAAAAAAAATTACAAAAAGCAGACCAGAACCCTCACATTTATAAGAATTTGTCAGAATACTATCATTTGCAACAAACGCAAATGACCTTCCTGACTGTAAGAGAGGCATTACTGGCCAGAACAGGAAAATACCATTATTATGTTTTTAAATCCAACCATGGGACTTCTTTCTGAAGAGTCACTCTTTTTGAATACCTCCGTATTTTTAGCTATGATTCAAACATGCCACCCTACAACGGTGTATTTTGCTCCAGGCCCCTTAGACAACACAACAGGCAGTTTGCTACACGGGGAGTAATCAAGACACATACAGAGAGATGGTCTGCAACAAGGAATAAGTCAGGACAGGTTTGTTTCTATAACCTTTCTGCCCTTCACATGGCAACTGTCACAAAAAGCAAATGAGTCAATTGAGTACATTGAGGAAGGAGCTTAGCACCTACACAGAAACCCGATCAGGTGAGTAATCTTGTGAAATGGGACAACCATCCAAAGACCTGCCCCAACTGTACACACAAATAAATCCCATCGTGTACTTTTTTCCCTTGCACAAATGTTCCGCATGTGCCTATTTAACCCGTAACAATAACTTAAAACAAACACAAGAAACATTAGCTCATTCCATACCTGGGATCATTAATAACTTTTACTAGGGCTTCGTACAATTCGCTCTCAGTGACGGTCTTCCAGTTCAACAAGATTCCCATGCCCTTGGCCTGCACACGAGTCATAGTATCGTAATGGTCTCCAAAAAGGGGAATCCCCACCACCGGGACCCCGTGGTACATGGTTTCAAAAATGCTGTTCAGACCTCCGTGACTAAGAAAAGCTTTAATGTTAGAGTGACCTGAGAACAGAAGAGGTATGAAGATTAAGACAACATTTGCATCTCCTCAATGTGAAGTTATTGAAGCAACTGGGCACAACGCATTTGTCACCACGTATGGCTGCAATGCAGGAAGGCAAAAAACGAAGGCGACTTGCTCTGAAGTTCTCCTCCTGAAACCCACTCCGCTGAAATTTGGCATGCGTTGGATGATTTCCTTGCACAGTAAGAGAGAGGGAACAGCCAATGCAAAGAAAATTCTCATGTATGCGAGTTGTGTACAATTATTAATGGAGTAATTAATATACATTGTTTACTCCTGAGTAGCTGCAGGGGGTGACTATAACCAGGTTAGCAGTACATCTGAGGAAAACCCCTCTCTCCTTGGCTCATTATTCATATGAAATACAACCTATTTAATGACAGGACAACTGACATTACATTCTCTCTAAAGCTTCACATGCCTTACTTCAGGCTAGCAAGATCTGACAATAATGATAACAACATTATGTAATGGAAAAATGAGACTGCCTCAGAGCAATTTCAGTAACCAAAACAAATCTACCTGCTTTAAAAGCCCTTTGCCTAATTATTACATTATGATAAGTACTCCAGCTGACATGCACACACACTGACGCACACGCATGCTCAACACAGTCAGCAGCACCACTGGAGCTGTTCTGTGAACACGGAAACGTCCAGCTACCCCAGAGACAAACACAAATATTCTGTGGCCCCTTGAATCTGTCATGTATTCAGCTACCCTTCCACAGGGAAGAAAGGGGAAAAAAAAAATAAAATACATAGGTTCTGACACAGTCTTTCCCAAAAGACGGAAGAATGTCAAGTTTCATCTCTGCACCTGAGAACCTGGAGTACCTCAGGTTAGTTAAACGAAAAGGATATTATCAGCTTACAATACGCGCCCAAGTTCTGTTAGAGCTTTCTTTGGAGAAAAATAAACAAATGTGTATATATACAGCAGTATGTACAGATGCCTAAGACTTGTTTTGAAGCAGTGTGAACAAATTTTGTATGCTCAGTTTTATGACTCTTCCATGGAGACGAGTGAACACCATACCATGCTTTTTCATAGCAGAGAAATTAACAGTTACAGTCGTCGGTTCCCTAAAATAGTAGATTCAAGAAAATTCCTACTTATTTATCTTCAATAATTATTTTTCTTCAAACTGCATAGTTTCCACAGTACAGAAGACACTTGTCAAAATTTTCCCATTTATTAGGCCAAATAATCTTTGGAATAATTATGGCCTTCTGCCCTATTAACTTAGGGAAAAAAACAGAGTTAGTACCAGGGAAAGATAATTAACATCAGAAAGGTGTTTGATTTCATCATCTCGAAATTCTGATGAATTCTATATTCTTGTTCTATGGCCTCCATTACAGAAATTATCCTTGGTTTATAATGACTGCTAATTCAGCAGAATATTGTTGGAAAAGCAACCTGAACTCGAGTGAGAATAAGCAAAATATGATCAAAATAGATACTCACCAAGGAGGTCGTTTTGTGGTAACCACTCTATAAGCTTCGTATTGTTGCCTAAATTCCTTGGTTTGTTTCCTGAAAACCTAAACCAATAAAATCAAATGGAAGATGAGTTGTCAAGACCTCCAAAATCAATAAATTCAAACCAGAGAATCAAACCAAATGATCCATGAGCCCTAAGCACACTTCCAGTTACGTGGGGACACTGTTTACTATTACAAGAAAATAAAATAGAGTCAAAGTGCTGTAAATAGCTAATAACTTCCAGTTTCATGTTTTCATCATTCATTTTCTTTGCTAACTGGATTGGAATGCAGTGTTTTCTATTAACACAATGGCAACATAGTTCCCTCTCAAAGCATATATAACTCTTAGCACTAAGACTGGCAGGAGGTTTTAAGAACTTCTCTATGGTTCTGAGTCCATTTCTTTACAGAAAACTCTGGCTGTTACTAGATAAATAACACCACTGAGAACATCTCACCAGCACTCAAATAATAATCCCTACCATCAACATGAGGCATTCCCTTTCATTTGGCCAGTTTCCTGTAGATCTTGACAACTGACACCATCTTATTTTAAAAGAAGTTACTAATACCAGGAGGGCAAAGTCTGACAGCTCAGCTTGTGAGACAAGAAGCTATTGATGAAAAATTTGGGATCAGACTGTGAGACAAGTGTATTTTTCTTACTTGCTCAACTTCCTGAAACCCAATGGCAACGTTTTGCTCACCTGAGGTTGCTGGAAAAGTTTAGCCCAGAAAATATGGGCTCAAAGTAGAAACTGATTTACATATTAATACAGTCAATACCGAAAGTTAAATATATTCTAAACTTAAAAGAAAGAGGAAAAAATTACCAGTGACTATGACTACTAGAGGAGAGCGCTGTTCTGCTACAGCTCCATCAAATGACTTAAAAATATTCTGGTTACCAGAGAGCATTAGAACTGTAACTTCATCAAGAATTGCCTACATATTCCCAATTAAGCAAGCCATACTTCTTTACAACTGCCTTGTGCATTCTGTATGTTGCAGAAAGTCTACGTTCCTTATGCTAAGTTATATAAAATCAAATAAACTATGTTACCGGTTTTGGCTCTAACGAGTACTCCATCATCAGAAGTGTATAAAGAACTAGAAAGATTTCCTTGCTTTGGCATTGTGACATAAGACTGCCAAGCAGTACCACCCTCCTCATTTTCAGAAATGTCTAGTATATACACCACCCGCATCCAATACAGGTCATAGGTGAAAAAAAATCAAAGTCAAGCTGGACTCGTAATTTCATATTCAGGTATTTAATTATGGGCCTCAAATTCCCACCGGGGTGACTGAGAGCCACTGCTCAGCTCTCCCGAAGACCGCGTCTTACACCTAGTTCCAGGGACACCTTCCTCTTTCACAAATCATGATGGAAAGAAACAGGAGGGTTCCCTTATCCAAAAAGCCATTCGGCAGATAAGAGATTACAGATAACAAAACTATAACGAAAAAAACATAACAAAAAAGCATTGGAAAGGAAATACTAGTGAGAAAAATTAAAAATTTTAACAGAAGGTTTCAATTGAAATTGTTGCGTTTGCATTAAAAAAAGCTATCCTCAAGAAAAATCCATTAAATTTTTTTTGTTTACTACAAGAAGTGGATACTTCCTACATCCAAGGGAAAACATGATCAAAGGATAAAACAAAAGAAAAGCAGTAAGATCAGCTGGGACTAATAATTACAAGCCAAGCAGCTTTGCAGGCTTCGTAAGAAATATATAGCGGCTCTACCCCAAAACAAAAACTGATGAGACCTTTACTACAACGACCAAAAGTTCTGTGCCACAGCCTGAAAATTTTCCATTTTCTTGTTCACTATTTCAATTACACACAGCAGTGAAAACAGTCCCTAAGAGACACCAGGGAACAGGCCACTAAATAGACTCCAGAAGTGCAGCAAGGACAGGAGTCATAAACTGTAAGACACTGATTATTTGGAAACCAATAGTTCACATGAACTCTCCTGAATTATATTCCAGAGCAACGCTCCATGTGAAACAGAGCTGACTAAACGGTTCTTAGATTTTTACAGTGAGAGTGCCACTCAAGATGATTTTAGAGCTGAGAAAGCTTATTACTGATTTTTTTTCCTGCAGATTTTTCTTCCTCCAATTTCTCACTGAAAGAGACAAGTGAGAAGAGCAATTATGAAAGTCCACGTTTACAGATTAAAAAAAAAAAAAAAAAAAAGAGAAGGGGCCTGAAAAAGCAAGGAAAAAGAAGAGAAAAGAAAGAAAACCTAAGATTAAATCAGCAGGATGTCATGCTTGCTCCCTGGGGTGGCTTCTTTATCAGAAATGATGACAGTATGTCACAAATGTTATAACCTCAGAATCTCTTTTCACTTTCCCCAATCCTTCTAGGATATAAACTCAGAACAGGAGTACAACCTATGCCTTATTCTGCCACAAAATCATTGCTCCTCCTTATTACCAGGGGATTGCAACATTTCCACAAAGAGCATCTTTCAAGAGTCAGGTCTTCTGTGTCACCCAGACTGTCTCAATTTCAGCTTCTGCAACTCTAGAACAAGATGGCACAATAGGAAATAAGCATGCTTCAAATCACCCCAAGTACATCTACCATTGCACTTACCTCCAAATAACTCTCTGAGGCAGTCTTGCCAGAGCATGTGCTAACTTATTTGCTATATCTTCTGACAGGTATTTCACTCCAGCTCCAAATGAGACGAGGACAAAGCCATTTTCGTTAGCGCCATTCACCCACGTTTGGAGATCCTGTTAAAGTGAAAATTTATACTGAGCACTGTAGAAGAATAGGTAAACCACAGAAACAGATGAAATAAACGTTGCTTAGGAAGAACAGTTGTTGGTCCCTACATTACTTCACAAGGCAAGCTCCAAAAGTCAAACATTTCAGAAATCACTGAGTACAATGACTCACTGATTCAGAATCCGTGGTACAGGCTGTGAACAGCAAAATTCTTCCGGCTTCGTTTTAGCTTCCGTATTAACAATCAGATTCATAAGACAATTTGTCCTTTCTTAACTGATCATTGACACACATTCACAATTTAACACATCACATTTTAACTCAGCATAGATCTATCTCATAGTATCAGCCTGGAAATACAGCACAGGAACTACATAAATGAAGTCTGGCGTTTAACCCTGTGACTTCTAGCCTCAAAGAAAGTGAAAGCACTTCAAAAGGGTTGTTTTTCTATCATTGCCATAAAAAGTCAGTGCAACTGGAATGAAGCCAAAGCTTCAAAAAACACCTCCAGTTTCCACTGCTCCAATATTCCAAGGAGCAAGGAACAATACTGCATCTGCATGGCAAGTACAGGGTGGATGTCCCCTTTGCTTAGGCCTATATAATTTATATCTTACTTAGACCTACCTGTGTGCCTCTTCCACACCAAGTTACCAGTATTATATCAAACAGACACAAGTGTAACAAAGGTCAAAGCCCCTTCCACCCTTAAGCTCATCCTCTTCCTGTAATTACTCTGAAACTGAGTCTCTTGCAACAAAACTTTTGCTGACCCTCTCGACTCAAAGGCCGCCTCAACTTCGGCAAGGAGGGCGGCAATGCCGAATGCAGAGGTCTGCAGTACTGAGCTGCTCAGAAACACTCCACAAGCAGAACCACCCATCTCCTGAGGGTAACCTGACGGCCGGGCTGGGAGATTCAAGTTCAGAGGCAGCAGCTTTTACAGCAGGGCACCCCACGATGCTGCTTCTGCAGCAGAGGTCAGGCCCTGCCTTCTGCTGCACAGGGCTTTGGGGCTCTCGCCGAGAGATGCTCTGCCCGCCGGTGGGAGCACCCTTTGCAAAACCACGGCTGGCCCAGGCTTTCACTGCATCTCAGGGCTCTGGGTCCAGCCACAGGGGATTTCTCCACAGCCAATGCTTCGGTTGCACAGGAGACCGCAACATCCGATCGCCGGGGCTGACTTGGTGGAGACGGGGTTTGTGTCGCCGATGACAAGGCAAGCCAGCAGACACCACTGCCGACCGCCACCAGGACAACAGGGCTCGGCAGGGTCGGAGTTAAAAACAACCTAGAGTACCAGAGAGCACAGAGCTGCCAGCTAAAAACAAACCTCGGACACAAGAGCAATGTCATCTGGCTTCAGGGAGGGAAAAATGATGGGGACACACACACACGACACGACCAAAAAAGTAAAAGCCTCAGCATACTCTTTGCTTTTAGAAACAGATTTAAATTCTATTTTTCCAATGTGACTGTTGGCAGTAGAAACTAAAAAATAATACCACTGACATACAGATATGTCAGTCTGCTGAAGAGTAACTTGTATTTTTTCCCAGGGTATGGTTTCATTCTGGTCTCACCGAATTTAAGCATAAGCCTGCTCAACACCAGTTCAGCAATAGGAAATGAGTAAATGGAAAATTAAGAGCCCTGTTCACAAGGCACTTCTTGTCCCGGTAATAAACAGCAGGCCAGACAGTAATAGAGTAATGCTGTGCTATCATATCTGAGCACAAAACCACAAAAGCTACCACAAAAACTAGCAGGTGTAACAAAGACCTGCACTGAGGGCTGCACACTAGTCTCTGCTATGCAGTAAAAAGGGAATTTCTATCTTCTCTAGAATCCCCACTTTTTCATTTCTCTTCATCCTTTTTCATTGCACTTTCTTTTCCAATTTTTTTTCTATGCCTGTGGAGGGAGGGAGAATGGAGAGGAGGGGAAGTGTCTTGACCTGCCTTGAAGCTGAATCGATTATTATGGGCTGAACTTTGGACATGAAAGTTTCCAAGTGGTTTTGTGATTTAAAGTTTGTCCTTGAATTTTACTTAAGGACCCAAGACATGCTGCAAATGCATATGCACAAATTTGCAAATGCAAATTGCACAAATACAGGCTGGGAAGAGAATGGGTTGAGAGCAGCCCTGCAGAAAAGGACTTGGAGATGTTGGTGGATGGAAAACTGCCCGTGAGGCAGCCCCGTGTGCTGGCAGCCCAGAACCCACCCGTGCCCTGGGCTGCAGCCAGAGCAGGGGGGGCAGCAGGGCCAGGGAGGGGATTGTCCCCCTCTGCTCCGCTCTGGGGAGCCCCCCCTGCAGTGCTGGGGCCAGCTCGGGGGCCCCCAACAGCAGAAGGACCCGGAGCTGCTCGAGCGGGGCCAGAGGAGGCCACGGAGATGCTGGGGGGGCTGGAGCAGCTCCCCTGGGAGGCCAGGCTGAGAGAGTTGGGGGTTTCAGCCTGGAGAAGAGAAGGCTCCAGGGAGCCCTTCGAGCGGCCTCCCAGGGCTTAAAGGGGGAACAGGGAAGGTGGGGAGGGACTCTGGATCTGGGGGTGCAATGATAGGATGAGGGGTGATGGTTTTAAACTGTCAGAGGGCAGATTTAGGTGAGCTCTAAGGCAGAAATCCTTCCCTGTGCGGGGGGTGAGGCGCTGGCCCAGGGTGCCCAGAGCAGCTGTGGCTGCCCCCTCCCTGGAAGGGTTCAAGGCCAGGTTGGACGGGGCTGGGAGCACCCTGGGCTGGGGGAAGGGGGCCCTGCCCAGGGTGGGGGGGATGGGACTGGGTGGTCTTCAAGGTCCCTTCCAACTCAAACCATTCTATGTTTACAGTCACTTTTACTTAGTGGTTAAACTAGTTACACCTTGAACTATTTCCTATCTGTTGTTTAAAGCTAAATAGAAAATAACCGTTTGTGGGCTCTAGGACAAACCACTCTGAAGAGCGATCAAGTACCATGCCGTAAAAGACAGCTCTCTGCCCATCTGTGACATTCAATCAACTTCTATTCTGAGAGCTGAAGTCCCCTGTTACAAGGTGTTTTTCTTCTGACGACTGGAAGAAGCCCAACATTCACAGGCTCCAGTCTTCATAGGGCACTAACCCACCCTGATACCTGCTGGAGGGGCAGAAACCTGTAGGTTTCTGGAGTGCCATCTAGATGACAACTCCATGACACAGGTGCTCAAGAAGCCAACAAGGAGACACTCTGCTGCACCTCATCCATACAAGCAAGGAAGACCTTGTCTGGGATGCAAAGGTCAGAGGCAGCCTTGGCTGTGGTGACCATGAGATGAAGAAGTTCAGGATACTGAGCGGACAAGGAGGACAACAGCAGCATCTCCCAGCCTTCAAGAGAACCAACTCTGGTCTCTTCAGAGACCTGCTTGGAAGAATCCAGTGGGATATAGCCCCAGGGAGAAAAGAGGTTCACAAGAGCTGGTTGATACTGAAGCATCACCTCCTCCAAGCTTAAGTATGGGCCATGCGGATGAGCAGGAAGTTAAGCAAAGGTGGCAGGAGGATGAACAAAGGACTCCTGGCAAGACTTGGGTGTAAAAAGGAAGCATACATGAGCTAGAAACACGGACGGGTCCGCCTGAGAGGAATACGTAGGCACTGCCTGAGCTTGCAGGGATGGGCATTGGAAAAACCGAAGCCCACCTGCAGCTGGATCTGCTAAGGGACATGAAGGGCAGCAAGGTACACGAGCAGCAAAAGGAAGACCAGGGTAAGCATGGGCCCACTGCTGAATGGGACAAAGGACCTGGTGACAAAAAAATAGGGTAAAGACTGAGGTACTTCATGCTTTCTTTGTCTCAGACTCTACTGGTAAGGCTGGCCTTCAGCAATCCCAGGTCCATCAGACCAGTGGGAAAGTCTGGAGCAAAGAAGACCTACACTCAACAGAAGCTCAGGCTAGGCTCCTTTTAAATAAATTGGTCATACACAAGTATATGGGACCTGATAGGGTGCACCCAGAAGTGCCAACAGGTGACCAGGAGCTGGCCAATATCACTGCAAGGCCACTCTCATCTTTGAAAGGTCATAGCAATTGGAGGAGATTCCTGGGGACTGGGGGGGTGAGGTGGGATGGTTGTGTCTGTGTGGAAAAAAAGCATCACTTGCCTTTCAATGAAGGAAGATCCAGGGAATAGGCTGCTCAGCCTCACCTTGATCCTTAGAAGGTGATGGAGCAAATAATCCTGGAGGTCATTTCCAAATGTATTAAGGAAAACACGAATGGAGCAGTCAGCATGGATTTATGGAGACAAAATCAGCTTGATCAACCTGACAGCCTTCTACAGTGAGAAAAACTGTCCCAGTGAATGAGGTAAGAGCAGAAGATGTCACTTACCTTGGCCTGGGTAAGGCCTTCAGCACTGCCTCCCACCACAGCCTCACAGACAAACTGATGAGGTACTGGCTACACAAATGGACAGTGGAGTGGGACTGAAAACTGGCTAAACTGCAGGGCCTGAATGGATCTGACCAGTGGCACAACATCCAGCTGGAGGCATGCTTGCTTTTTAATAAGGACAAAACCATGATAGCTGGCACTACTGCTCAAATATTTCTCATTCAGCGTGGGGAAGACCTACCTGTGACTACTTACACTTGGTCAGACACATGGTTTCTGCTGCTAGAGATCAGTCTGTTCTAGCTGAGGAGCAGCTTCTCTGTGCATAATTAGAAATTCTGTGAGACTTCACAGCTCTGATGTATTCACATGGTAAGAATTACACATCATTATGCAAACACAGAGGAGGTATAGATTATTTACTTATAATGGAATTTCTAAAACAGCATTAAAAAACCCCCATGTATAACAACAAATAACTATTAAGTGCTTAGAATTTTACGTAGAGGACAAAAAGAAAGGAACTTTACCATGTACCATGGAATTAGAGTCACTCTACAAACAGGCTTTTGCATTTTATTGTTGTGCAAGAGCAAAGCAACCTGCTTCGCATCATTATGGCTGATTTCACAGTCAAACCTTTG